TCGCGCGCGCTCGTTTGGTCCTGTGGAACTCCCCACCTTTGTTGATCGTACCATTATCATTTCAATATTTGTATCTTCATCCGAATATAGAGTCTACAGTACCTTAAATAACGTAAAACCGCTTAAATTCAACGTGTAAGTCACGCGGCTGTAAGTGCATTTTCAGTGCGGCTCAAAGTGATTTCTGAGAAAAACACTTATAGCCGCGGCGGCCGTAAAGTATTTTTAACAGCGGCTATAAGTGTTTTTCTTATAAATCACTTTGAGCCGCGCGGCTGTAAGTGAAATTAAACTTGCGGCCGTAAGTGTCGCGGCCCAAATTCAGAACTCCTTAATCACACTCCGGATGGGTATACTATCCATTTCAGAATGTCTTTTGACAAGCAACTACTCGTTGCATTTGGTTGTGTATTTTGATTGGGAAATGCAAAATGACGCATTCAATATTGTTTTAATTGATAACGAAGCAAAGAATATGTTCTGAGTATGTTCATTCACTCAAAGGACATGTGTCCCTATCCTACATGCTTTCATAAAAACTTAGCCTTTTGAATTTTCTCTGTGTATGAAAAATTGATTGAAATTTTTTTTATAATAATTGTACCGTTGCAGGGATCCACCAATCTTGCAAGCACATAATAACACGGATATAATTTTACGGTTACCAATGGGGAAACGAATTCGCGATATTCGATGGTTATCGGTTTGGTGTCGACGATTTACGGTAAGTCAAATTTCTTGTTAAAAAAAAAAGAAGACGTGTATACATTTTGTCACAAAGTATAGGCAAACGTAAACGGAATTCAGCGAAAATATGTTGGAGAGATAGACATAGGTTGATCGAAGAATGGCACAAATTCGATGAACTTTGAAAGTAGTGAATTTAATGAAAAGCGAATTCGTTCAAACTAATGAAAACATCACCATTTAAATTCCATTTGACAATCAGAACGTTATGGAGAATGTTTAGTGGCAGACATTTCTCAACATGCTATGTACGTTTTATCTATGCGTAAAAAAATTCGAAAATCGACAGGAGTTAATATGTTATAAATCATTGAAAAGCGTGACATAGACGACAGACACTGTCATACGCCATAATGGTAAATACAAATACATTTTAATTTCAATTCAACAGTAAAAGCCCCAACAAAAGCAACAAAAACAAAACCACGTAGCAGCAACAGGGAATGCTACAAAAGGCATATCATCAAATGAATGGAAGAACTTCCAAATAACTTTTACAGTTTTCTACAGTTTCGACGTTGCGTGCGTCATGCGCATTGCGCATACGCTTTAATCGATAAAAACGGGAGTTTCTGTTTTTCCACATATATCTCTATTTTCCATGAGCGTTCAACATAATATGGATGCCGGAATGCGATATATTTCCACATAACACACAGCACATTTTTGCAGATACATTCGATGCCTTGGATTCGTGTGCACAGTTTTCACTAATATGGCTTCTATATTTGCGCTCCTTCTCTGTCCCCTGCTTTCTCTCTCTCTCTCTCTCCCTCTGACTTTCCCGTTAGAGTCTTCATATTTGTGTATGAACGAGTGACGACGGAGGCGCGGTTCCAAATTTTCAAAACACCCATTTCACTAAAGTCGACAACAGAATCGGATTCCGGGGACCCATTTCTCGAGGCATTGTTTGGGGCTCTCTCGATTTTCTTTTCATTTTTCATACCGTATGTGCGAGACATCCCTTTAGTTTACCATCGAGTTATTCCTAATCGGTTCAATGGAATCGTCTTAAACTTGTTTATGCTGAGACCACGTGAGATTTGCTTGTATAATCACACACGCACAATGCCTGCATATTCACACAATACCATCGCGGTTATGACGCGCCAAATTGCTTTGAACTAAATTGAGCATAAAAAGCTCAAATAAAATGACAATTACCCAACTGAATTGATTGAATTTATGATTTTTTGTTTGAATGTACGAAATTTTTTCAATCGATATACGTTCATAAACAATACCGTATTTTTGGTTAGAATAAATAAAAGACAATAAAAGCTTATATATAAAATAAACAAAGATATATTGTATGTCAATATTAATTTTTTTCAATTGGTCACGGTCTTATTCACATTCGAACAATTATTGATGTTAAGGTTTTCTCTTCGCCACTGCAAAAGAATGGCGATTTTCCCGTATTTAAGTAGAAAAAAAGCACAAAACAGACTCGGTTCGAAAAAAATCAAAGCTCAGACACTCTTGAAAATGAAGAGACACCATCATTGTCTCGCTCTTGTCTACGCTGCCTACTTCGATGCAACCACATGTCTGTAGAGAAAATACGTTTTTATATTGAAGAAATACGAAATATTTAATTAAGATAAAAAATATAAATTCGTAGGGGCAAAATTATCAAGAAAAGCCGTGTAGGTTGAACAGGCTAACAATGAATTGCAGTATGATGCAAATTAGTGCGGATCATTTGCATTGATTATTGATTTGTGTGTGTGTGTTTGTTTCTTCTTTCAACTTCTATTCGTTTTGATAGGTTGATTTTGGAGAAGTTTTTATCCCCGTAGGCTTGGATGTTCCAAAGCCACGAGTGTTACCTGAATTCAAGAGACTTGCACACGGATTACGCTCGAGTAATATAAGCGTACTCGATGCGAAAACTTTCTACATTCCAAACTTGCACTATGATGGAGCGGGTCCTGATGCCTACTTTTGGGTGGGCAACGGAAGTGAGCCAAACATTATGGGAATTAAGGTAATTAATTGAATTGTCTACTTGAATCAAATGCAACTATTACATTCAAATTGATAAAATTGAAGTGTAATGTCGAAAATTGTGTTGATGTTTGACTCTTATTTGTGGCAAACAAATAGTTGAAATCTTTTTATCCCGAAATTCTTAAATTCGGTTGGAAAATTGTACAGGTACTGCATATAAGCGTCTGACAGCTTACTTCTAGCCCTGCGAAACAAGTGTCAAAAGTTGTGACTCAGATCGTTCAATATTTGCTGCAAACTATTGCATCTTTTTTATATTTATTAACAAAGAAGACAGAAAAAATAAAAGCAGTAGGTGATAAACATCAACTTTATAAGTAAAAAAATGTTTTTCCTTACAGAGCATTGTTGATGAGTTCATACAGTTGCGTTCATGAGTGCGTCTAACGACGTAAACGAATTGAAATGCACTTCACTGAATGAGCTCATCGCTAATTTGTGTTTTAATTTGTTTTATTAGTGTTATGCATAGGTTGCGGAAAATTATAACATTCCTATATTTATTAAAGTTTGAGTTAGTGGAAAACAGAAAATTGATTAGATATTGTGTGTAAACCGCGTCAAAGACGGTGTATGTTGCGGTAAAATGTGTGTAAAGACTTTTACATTCAAAATGTTTGCAAAAGTGAAATGTGCGGACAAACTCATTACCTACATTCAAAGAGATTTTGACACACACGAAAAGCAACGAAGAATGTTTTGAATAGAGTTAGGTAGATTTTTATTTTAACTTCTCCCGTAGCAACCGGCGAAAAAGCTCTTTGAGTTTCTCGTTTTTCATAAGAATCACCAACTCAATCGGCATTAATTCTCATGAAAAAACATAATCAGAATAACTTTGACACACAAACAATTTGTCGGCTGTTTTGTTTTTCTAGAATCACTTGAAGGTTCATGCCAAAAATAAGTTTTACGTATTTATTTGTTTGTTTTGATTTCTTTCTTTGGTTTATTTTCAATTTTGGAATCGTAAAGGTACCAAATGAGATCGGGTCTCTAGAGCCATTGCGTGGGTATCAAGGGGAGGATATTGAAATTCAGTTACCTGGTAATCTAACCGTGTACGACATCGATTGGTTGGCGGTGTGGTGTGTTGAATATAGACATAATTTCGGCCATGTATATATTCCAAAAGATCTCGATGTGCCGCCAGCGCTGGGTCAAACCAAAATAGCGGTAAGTGTGGCTTTTTCTATATTATATGTATATTCACATAATGCAATACATAAACACTGCAAACAAATGTCCATAAACATTTTTCCATTTGTCATGCAAACGGATAGCCACCATGGTGGTACAGTCCTGTAAGTAACGTAGAAAAATGACGAGAAAAATTCTATTTTTGTTTTCTTTGGATCTTTGTTTCTTTGAAATAAATATTGAGCGGTTGTTTTGTTGAAAATGAAAAATCTCTTGAAAACTGAATTAAAGCAAATGAAGTAAAAGCATCAATTTGATTGAATTGCAGACAACGACAACACCGAGACCGAATATCAATAACTGTCGCGAGATCATCAGCAATAAATTGCAAGTGAAATGGGAAATCCAAGGAGACTACGTTCAAATCGAATTAATCGGTCGCATTCGTGAAGACCAGTACATGGCTTTCGGTTTATCCGGAACGAATGGTCGACCGCAGATGGTGGGCACTTTAAACTTGATTTTTCTCTATCTCTCCTTCTCTTTCTTTCCATTTTACGTTTTCCATACGTCTTCCAACTAACCACTTCGACTAACCCGAAATCATTTTGTTTTTGCGAATGCTACTTAGGTTGGAGCCGATGTTGTTGTCGCATTTTATGATAAAGTGTCGAGGGTGTTCCGAGCTGAAGACTACTATTTATCACATTTGTCGCAGTGTGATGGAAAGCAAGGCGTCTGTCCGGATGAACGCATCGGCGGCAGAAATGATGTAACAGTCGGTGCGTATCGCATAAATTTTCACACTCAACCAATCGATTCCAAATAAATCATGCAAAGGGAGACAAACAACGGAAATAAATCGAAACTTTTACATTAATTTTTGTATGTATTACAGTGATGGCCGATCGTAAGAGGATGGTGACTAGTATCAAATTCAAACGACCGTTGCAAACCAACGAACCAATAAATGATATGGCAATACCAACCGATGGATATGTATCGGTTATCGGAGCTATTGGAACATTGAATTCAAGGCGAGAAGCAAATGCACACTCACACGATGGAATGAACGTTAACGCCGAAGATATTCGGATTGATTTTTCATCAAAGGTTAAGATTTTTCAATTGCATTTAAAAAAAAAACAGTTTTTCTTTCCTACACTGAACGATATAATTTCCAAAAATATAGATGGATCATGACTGCAAATCGTCGCTAGATTCAGTGCCAGACGAAAATGCGCCGAAACCTTGGCCGATAAGAAAAATAATTGGCGCAAAGAACATTACTGCCCGCATCGGTCCAACAGGTGGAAAACGAGGCTACGAAGCACAAACGGGTTCACCATCATGGGGCATTGCGTGGTATTTGAACGATTTGCTCATTCCGGAACTGTATGTGGAACGTGGCGAAACGTATACATTCATCGTTGAGGGTGGCGATAAATCAAGCAACCCAGCCAGATATCATCCATTTTACATAACCGATTCACCGGAAGGTGGTCTCGGCCAAGCGTCTGAAGACGAACAACAAAGAACGCACAATTATGCCGGTACAGCTAAAGACAGTCAAGGGTACATCTACCCAACAGCCGGTAAATATTGCATTCAATCAATTCTCATTCACAAGATTCTACTGATAATTGCGATTAATCTATTTGCAGCTGGGCGTTACTGTGAATGGGAACATTTGGCCGTCGATAAATCAGCCGAATCTGAAACATTTGAAGACTATAAGAAAACGTTACGATTAGTTTGCGAAGATGGCAATCCATTTGTTTTAAATTGGACAGTTCCCGAAGATGCACCTGAAGAACTTTACTATCAGGTATGGAAAGCTGATTGAAATTGAAGAAAAACAACTTGTTCCCAATATTGGTCAATTTCCATTCTTTCTCACTGTAGTGTTACTCGCATAAGAACTTGGGATGGAAGATAATCGTTAAGAACAAAGGAGAATTAGAGCCAAACAGTAGCCCAACAAGCATTCGCACAAATATATCGTTGCCAATTGTATTCCTAATTTCATTGGGAGTCACATACGTAGCTTCAATAAGAACGAAAATTGCCATACGATTGGCTTGATAACGATTGTAGTCGAATTAATTGAATAATCAAAACGGTAATTTTGGCAGCGTGATCAAAATAAAATGATGGCAGAAGAAAAGAACAAAAGTATAAAAAAAATATTGAAACATATTGATTCGACTCGACTCGACTCGACTTTTTTTTTAAACATTAACAACGATTTAATGCTGAGTTACAAAACAAAGTTGCTCACGCAAAAACCAACGATCGATTCATGACCTTCGGGACACAATGACCATATATTGGATCACTTGGACTTGATCAAATCGCTTCAATGCGTTCATTGAGATAAAGTCATCAACAAAATTATTAATCAAAATTGCCTAATTTAATTGTATTTTTCTCTCCTACGCACAAGGACAAATTGTTTTTTTTCTTGTGCACAAAAGAAAGAAACGATTAAAATGGTCAATTTTCTTCGATATTTGTATGAAATTCTGTCAACAATCGAAGAATTTCATGAAATCACCAACACAAAACAACCAGGCTCGATATCGTATCAAAACATATCTTTGTGCGAATGTTTGTATGAATGGGATCTTATTACAATAAGCTCTTCGACGATTTCTTTTTTCTTTTAACCGACCACCTCTTGAAATAGCAACAATTTTCGTTTTCAATAGCAACATCAGCAATAACAGCAACATCAACAACAATGGAAAACAAATCACTTAATATGAATTTTATGAACAATTTTATGTATGAGGGAGTATGTGGTTTTGACAATAAGTTAACTAGTTAAGGAAAAATCTTCAAATTAGACATTAAGAATGACGTTTGATTGAAGAATAACATATTTGAATTGAGCACTATTGTAAAACGTAACACGTTAGTAGCATAAATGACGCGTTGAAGAACCGACAATTCATATATTATGCAAAGAAAAGGCATCGACATACCACAACACTTCTCCAATATTCCGTTCTGTTTATTCTACCCATTTTAAGTAGAATTCATTGGAACAGTTTTGCTTTCATTTTTATAACCGATTTTTATTTGTCAATAACTATTTTAAATTCTTTCTGTTTTTGTTTTGTTTTTTTTTTTCATTTTTTATTTTATTTTGATAAGTCATAACATTTTGAAATCAGAGAATAAAAAGAACAAAACGGGAGTTACAATGCGGTGCTAATTAAAATCTGCGCAAAATGAACATTAAAACAAATATTTATAGGATAAGAAGAAACAAGAGCGACACTCTGTAAAATGCTTGGAATAATATGGAAAACGCAGAGGCTGCATATTTGCTGCTGAGCAGGCCTGAGCTGAGCTGAAAT